ATCCCAGGGTCCTGGGATGGAGTCCCGTGTCATTGGGCTCCCTGCTCAGCGGGAGGCCTGCTTCTCCCTCTCCCACTTCCCCTGCTTGTGTTCCTTCTCTTGCTGTCTTTCTCTCTCTGTCAAATAAATAAATAAAGTCTTAAAAAAAAAAGAATACAAAAAGGACATCTACAAAAAAGTAATGAGAATAAAATGCAAAAGATTTAAACTATCAATCCACAAGAGAGAAAGGTGGGTCAGGGAAGATACTGCCTTCTGTTGCTGGGGAGTGGGGAGAGGTTAGCCTTACAGTTTAAATGAACCTATTAAACTATGTATGTGTTATTTGAATCAAATAAGAATAAAAATAATACACAAAGCCAACGGTAGCATAAACAGATGGTGAGCAAACACTTTTCCGAGGACAGCACAATACAACCTCTTTGCTCATTGACTGAGAGTGAATACTCTCAATCTATAAAAATGGATGGCCAGTTATGAGTAAAAACAAATAATAACTTCTTTTCAGTAATGCAAATATATATACTTTTAGAACATAAAACTATTTCCAAAGTTGAAAGTGCTATAACACTAATAAAAAATCATGCTAAATTATGTAGGTATATATACACAGAGATATACACAAACACATGCGTAGTATCTTTCTTATTTATTATTTGTAATTTTAATACTAGAGATTTCCTGTCTGTAAGAGATGGGTTCAACTTGGACCAAACTCCAATCCCAGAGTTTGTGGCAGTTCAAAGCTACCCCATAAATTCACCCTTTACTTCTTTTACAATGCTTTAATTGTATTTGAAGTTTATTCCCCTTTGAGTGTTTTCCTCCAAAAAAGCCAATCATACTCCAAATTCCTGAGCTTTGAAACCTCCTTGAAGGAAAGAGAAGTCATAATAAATGATATCATCACCCCCCCACTTCTTACTTGGTCTTCTGCCCTCTCCCTGGCTCCTCTTCTGCTTCAGTGCTTGCCAAAAGCCAGCTGTCTTTTGCCTGACCTTCCTCCTGGTCTGGAAGTCCCTTTAAAAGTGTTGTGCAGTCTCTCTAGACAACTACATTTCTTGGGTGGGGGGATGAGTGTGGTGCATGGTTTTTGCCAGTTTGGCCTGCCTTGTTAACCTCCTTGGAATTCTGGTACATAAATTTTCTCTATCTAAACGAATATGTGTATATATTATTTATTTATTTCTATTTCCAAGGTATGAGGCTGAAGATCTCCTCTCTCCATTACTGATACTCGATATTCATCTCATTAATTTTTTTTTACTAATCTAAAGGGTAAACAATTTGTATCTTGTTGATTTAATGTACATTTTTTGATACCTAGTAAAGCTGAGCATCTCTTTAACTATATTCACTGTCCATTTGTTTTTTCTTTTTCTGTGAATTGCTTCCTTATAACCTGTGCTCATATTTCCATTGGGTTCTTTTCTTTTTCTCACATAAATATTGAAATAAGAACTCCTTATAGATTTTGATTATTAGTACTTTGCCTGTTGTACTTGTTGCCAATATATATATTTTTCCTTTCTGCCATTTAACTTTTGTTAGAGTCTTTTCTTGAATAGAAGTTTTAAACTTTTAAGTAGTTTTGGTGGTCTTCCCTTCTATGTTTCTTGGCTTGTTTTCAATATTCTTGCTAACCCCAGGGTGATCATAGAAGTTATACTATATTTAGTGCTACTAATGTTATAGTTTTAGGGTTTATATCTTTAATTCACCTGGAGTATATTTATTTGTTCGCATTTCTATGCCGTAAAATAAGAATAACTTTTTCCCCAGATGTTTAGCCAGTTGACTCAATGATTTTTACTGAATAGTCTGTCCTTGCCCCTGATTTGAAAAGTCCTCTAGGTCATGTATTAAATTCCTATATGTGTGTATGTGTGAGTTTATACATGTACATCTGTTTCTGTACTTTCCATTTTACCCATTAACCTCATGGGATTTCCCTGGAACTAGAGGAGAAATGGAAATCACCCAGAGATCCTGAGAAGATGGGAAAAGACAGTGTAGTCTCAGGGTAGACATTTAAATTAAAATATAATATATTAATATATATAAACATATATATACAACATATTTATATGTTGAACTATGTGAATGTGTTACAAATTTAAAAGTTAAACTAAAGGGGCGCCTGGGTGGCTCAGACGGTTAAGCGTCTGCGTTCGGCTCAGGTCATGATCCAAGGGTCCTGGGATCAAGCCCCGCATCGGGCTCCCTGCTCCGCGGGAAACCTGCTTCTCCCTCTCCCACTCCCCCTGCTTGTGTTCCCTCTCTCGCTGTGTCTCTTTCTGTCAAATAAATAAAATCTTCAAAAAAAAAAAGTAAAAAATAAAAAACTAAAAATATAAACTGCACAGTCAAAATTCTGGTGTTGCTTTGGTTATTTTTTTTTTTCTGTTTCCCCAATGTTTATTTTTATTTTAAATTTCTTCTTGATTACTTTAGAATTATTCCTTTAATGCTGTGTGTGTGGTGGAGGGTGTGGGCGTGCCTCAGAGTGTGTTACCACAGTGCATTTGAAAGTAGAAAGTTAAATCAAATATGTATTTTCAAAAGTCATTGTTTAGATTTCCAATGTTTCATCCATTAATAACCCACTAATTTTGAAGAAATGGGATATTTTTATGGTAGTTTGCCTGGTAGTTGAGAAAAAATGTTGCTAGAATCCTTCACTATGTCTTTGGCTTGCATATATGCTCTGTTTCATTTGCATATTGCCTCAAGGGAACTAATATTTGACTACATGAAGTTTGACCTAGCCCACATGGGCCATCTGGGAGAGGAGTTTCACTAGTCAGTCACTCAGTGACTGAAATGTGAGAAAAGATTGAGAGCCAAGGATTGCTTTCCTCTGAGTCTTCTTACAAGGATGTGACCCAGACTGAAGAATCGTTACATATTTGCAGTGGATTCTGCAATTTTAAATAATAGTGGGTTTCCTAGTTTCAGAATCACCTTTGTGTTTTGCCCATAGCTCAAAATATTCCATTTTATTATGTTTTGTTTGTATTTAATAAAAATTTTGAGAATAAGAAATTATGTAGTTATTATGTTACAAATTCACACCACTTGTCTATATGCTGCCTGTCATATAGTAAATATTAGTTTTAGGTGAGCAGATGATCTGTACTGTTGCTCTTCACAGAAAATAACACTTGTCAAACCAAAAGTTACTTTTTCACTCTAGTAAAATTGAACTAGAAAATGTGATTTGGAGAAGAGTTTTAAAAGAGGAAAAAGGGATGTTAATAATACCAAAAAGAGCAGGAATTTCTGTAAAAATTTAAGAAAGAATTAGTATAATAATTTATTTTAAATATTTTTGACTTCAATGATGAGCATCCTCTCTACACCTACTAGTATGTGTGGGTGTGACTCCTAAAATTCTTTTTGTCATTTGTCCGACTAAGAATCTGCAAGTTTTAGGCTGCAATCTCTTTATGGCTGGTACATATTTATAGAAATCTTTTCTCTCCCTACTTCACTTAACCAATATCTAGCTATTCTGTTGATAATGGACATGGCAGACAATTAATAGTCTATTATGTAGGGCAAAAGCAGGTCTGAGATAGCTACCTCAACATTTATGTAGTATCCATTTAGCAGTAAAAGTACTAAATGTTTGACATAATTTTTTGTTATTGTTACTAACCCTTTTCCACATTAGTTTTTGTTTGTTTGCTTGCTTCCCTATACTAAACACTGTTTCCTAGAACTGGGTGACTTCTTGCTCCACTCCTTACCCTAGATGGGCCTCTTCTCCCAGGAAGTGGGAAGAGCAGTTCACTTCCTAGAGGGCACTCTGAGTGCTCTTCTGCCTTTTCCCAGTCCCAGGCAGTGATGTTGAGGCGTCAAAGGTGGAGTGAATGTGCAGCTCTGTGATTTATTACTCAACTGACTAGTCAATCGTTACGGGAGAACTTGTGTATTACTAGGACCCAGACAGCCTCTTGAGTGTGCAGGCTCATGGCAAGCCTTTGATATATCACTAGAATTATTTCTATCAGTACCTCTTGATCTGCGTAACCAAACCCTCCCAAACTCTTCCTGTCTTTTCTCCAAGTTGCGGATAACTAGACCACTTGAGATTCTATCTCTAATTACCATTTGCTTTATTTGTATGTGGATTATTTACTTTTATTAGCAATAGTGGGAATCCCACTGCCGGGAGTTCTGGGAGTCGAACTTGAACAATTCCGTCTCTGCTTTGACTTTCTGTTTGGGAAAACTCCCAACTAAAGTTGGTTCACCTCACTTTTGGAAATGTAGCTTGGTGCAGTTCCCTCATTCTTGTGTTAGCTGTCTCCCCATAATTCTAGGTGAACTCCCTGCCCACATTCCTCTGAAGCCACGGCTTCTCCCACACTATTTATGCTGGACCCTGACGAGGTCACTTCCTTTGGGTGGGTACCTGGCCCTTGAGCGATACTGCCCTCCAGCACCACCACCATGGGCTACATCTCAGCTCCTCCTTCCAGAACTATTGACACTGCCTTCAGAGGGCTCTCCCCTTCTCTCTGCTTGCTTCTTTCCTGCATCTTCCTAACAAATTATTTTTCCTAAAATATTTTTTTCCTTATGTCACTTTCCAAGGACTTAGATTGTTGGTAACTCATCAAATAAAAAACAAGTTCTTGTGCGTCAAGGCTTGCCGTGACTTCTGTGCTCTGGTCAGTCCAAGCTCTGTAGTGCTCATAGCTCCTCTGTGAAATCTTCTTTAATAGTTAAATCTTGATTTCATAGCCTTTCCCATCTCAATTCTAAGAGCATTGAGAGTCTGTAACACATAATTTAGCACTTTTATCTTCCTAGGGTTATTTTGTTCTGGATCTGTTAGGAAGTACACTTGGTCACTTAGAAGAGACCTGAATATGACAACTATTTATTTGTTTCTCATGTAGTGAGGTGTCAGGAGGTAGGGAGCTCACAGTTGCCACAGTGGATCCTTATGGCTCTCCGTTCTTCACTCTCCTCAGGTCTGGTCACAACTTCAAGATACAAAGTGCTGCCTTAGCTCTGGCAAGAAGAAAGAAGGGGAATACGTGGTCAGCCTATTTGAAAAAGCTTTTCTGGAAGTGCTGTCCGTTGAAAGGTCACCATCTTCTGCAGGGGAAATATAACCGTTGAGACGTTCACATTGCTGCTCCCCCAGATCGAGGGAGACTGTTAGTAGGGAGTAAGGGAGGATGGTTACTATGGGCCCCTCTCAGTCCACAGGATACACGGATGACTGTGAGGCTCCCCATTCACTGTAGCTGCAGGGACACACGGCAAGTGTCTGCTTTGCTTTCCTGAGCAGTGGTGGACACAAGTAAACTATAAATGTTTGATCAGTCAGGATGTCCCCTTTGGTCGAGAAGACTATTTCCTTTTTGCTTTGTGTCCTACTCTTTACTCTTTGCCCAGAAATATGTACAAAGAGATTAAAAAAATTTCAACAGCTATAGAAGATAAAAATAAATGTGAAACTTGTTCATTTACGAGCACTGTTTTGTTCTGTTGAAGGAAACAATTACATAGGTGTATCTGGATCTTAATGCTTAGACTACTGGATTATAAAATTCCACAAATGTCTAATAAATGCTTTTCAGCATGGCACACAATTCTGGGACTATGTAACATGCAGATTTTCTTTTGACATCCATCTTAAACGTGCAAGCTTTGGGGGCAATTAATGCAGTGGTTGTCTCACACAAGTAAACTGGCTTTGTATTCTTCTCAGAATTTAAACAAAGGATGTGCGTGATAAATATTTGCAATATGTGATGCTGTTGTGGGTGGTCATTAGGAGCTTCAACTGGAGGGTGTTTTCCTACCTTTGTCAGACACAAAGCAAGCCTCCTTTTGTCTCCTGATCACAGCTCTAATTTTCCCAGCTGGATGAATTCACCAAGTTGAGAATCTAAGAGGCCTTAACGTTAGCAGAATCTACAAAGCGCCAGAGGGGCACGAAAGCTGCGCTGGAAACATTCGCTCTCCAGGCCTGGTGGTGTGGTTGCCACAGCTACCAAAGCTGCTGCTTTCTCTGCTTTGTGTTCACGTGGGAAGAGAAGCTTTCAAGGTGACAGTGGCTTCATTATATAACTGACATTGCAATTCGTTTGCTTTAATATTCGCATTTTAATCTATGGTGCCCAGTCCTACATAGGACTTATCTTTGAGAATACTGTTAGGTAGGGGGATGGATAGACAAAGTTTTATACGATCAGGAGGACAGATCATAGAGTACATGAATCTGTAATTATGATTTTTTCCTGGACTTTGCGGCCACTCATACCATGGCTTGAACTGACGTTAGGGAGCTAGCTGCATTGCTGCACCAGCCACAAAGAATATGAGAATCACTGATTCAGATACATACACATTATATGCACCAGTTTTAAAATAGCAATTAAGATGAAATCACAACAGCCTGTCCTTGGTGAAGTTTAAGTAGGTATCCATGTATAATTAACTGGAGAGTCAATTTGAAGCCTTGAAGTTCTACACTTTATTTAATGATCTTTAAGCACTATGTATAAAATATTAATTGCAGGTGAGTGGGCTTCACTTAAAACCAAATCCTATACATAATATAATTGACATACCACCTTCTCTAGGTGAAATCGTGTAGTGACAGATACATAAGAATGTGTTAACAGTGGGTTTACAGTTTATCTGTTTCCATTTCTTTTCATAAATATATATTATCAATGATAAAGAGGTCTCAAAATTCCCTCTGCTATCTTGTCTGCAATCTCAGTTTTGAAGAGAATGCGAGTTTTGTCCCTTCTTTTTGATGGAATGGCATTATCAACAGCAAAATACTGTGTGGTTTTTCGTTTGTTTTGTTCAGGTTAAGAAGGAGCAGCTGAAGCACTGCTTATGAAATTTAACTAATTTTTCTTTGTTAAAAGAAGGCTCCCTTGACCGCTGTTTGCAGTTCGTTAGCAGCTTCTATCAGGCCACTGGTGGGAAGGAGACAATTTTTTGGAGCACCTGTTGTGTTTTTCTCTCACTTTGTGTATATTGTCTCCTTCAATATAATACTATTAAGTATTATTATTATGTTGTATTGTATGTATTAAGTATTACATATGTATATGTCTGTATTAAGTATTACTAATTTATTTTACAGATGAGGCTAAGGAGAGGACTTTTACATCCACAATCACAAAGCCAGTAAAAGAGACATAGTGGTCTTTCTAACAAAGACACAGGTCTTTCTAATCCCAAAACCCATATTCTTTTCACCAACTTGGGGAGACACACCCTGCCAAGATGACTTCAAATTTGGAGAGATGGTATGCTGTAATTTTTTTTTTGTTTTAATTTTTCTCAGTCATTAAATTACCTACAAGAAATGTGATGTAAACATTGTTAAGTATAATCTATATATTGGATGCCAGGTTTCATCCCCTGCAACCATTTCCCCTGTCTCGCCACAAAGACCTCCAATTTTCTTTGGGGGATACTTTTGGGTCCAGGGAAGCCAAATTTAACTCTGGTTTCAATGGTATGTGATGTGACCCAGGCTAAGCCAATCAGATTTTTGTTCCTCTGGTACTATGATTAGTTCAACAACTCAGCGTGGAACCTTAGTTTGTCTAATCAGTATGAGTCTCAAGACTTACTTTGGAATGCTGGGGCAAAAGTAATTCTGTTCAGTGAATTAACAAACGGTTATATTTCCCAGCCCCATTGACTTCAGACTAGGGCATAAAACTTACTTTGTTTAATGACATATAAGAAGAAGTAGTGTGTGCCACACAGTTGGAGTTGGAGCTTTAAGAGCCCACATCGTGTTTCCACTCTTTGCCCCCCCCACCACCATAATACTGGCAATGTCCCACGCAGGGTCTGCTCCAGCAGCCTGGGTCCTGGAATAAGGACTATGTGAAACAGAGCCACAGTTGACCTACAATGAAAATGTATAGTGAATGAAAAATAATTTTGGGGTGTCTGGGTGACTCAGTCTGTTAAGCATCCGACTCTTGATTCTGGCTCAGGTCATGATCTCGGATTCCTGGGATCAAACCCCACGTTGGGCTTCCAGCTCAGTGGGGAGTCTGCTTGAGGATTCTCTTTCCCTCTGCATCTCCCTTTGTGCATGCTCTCTCTCTCTCAAGTAAATTAATAAATCTTTAAAAAAAGAAAAAACCTTTTGTTGATGTGAGCCATTGGAATGTGGGAGTTTTTTTTGTTTTTGTTTTTGTTTGCCACATAACTTAGTGTAAATGGTAGGCTGTGGAGGTGAGCCTCAGAAGAACTGCAGCCATTTTTGCCTCATGAAGTTAGCCTAATGGGAAAACTGGCGTAAGAAGGAAGCAGAGTTAGGGAAATCATAGAGAAAGACAGAGGGAGTTCTAATGATGTCACAAACCCTTAGCTCATAGTTGTAGTCATCCCTACAGCTGAAGTTTTTATTTAAGTGAATCTTTTTTTTTTAAGATTTTATTTATTTATTTGAGATAGAGATCACCAGCAGGGGAAGGGAGGGGCAGAGGGAGAGGGAGAAGCAGGCTCCCCACTGAGCAGGGAGCCCCATGCAGGGCTGGGTCCCAGGACCCCAAGATCATGACCTGAGCTGAAGGCAGATGCTTAACCGACTAAGTCACCCAGGTGGTCTTAAGTGAATCAATATATTTGCTTAAGGTAATTTTAGTTCAGTTTTCTGTTACTTGCAACCAAAGCAAACAAATTACTTTATGCATCATACCATAAATTCTACTTCACTTTCCTTCAACAGTCATCTGAAATAGCCTTGAAGCCAGCCCAAATAATTTTAAGTTATAAAGTCCTCAAAGTCACTAGCCTGATCAATGCTGACAAAGGAAGAAAGCCACTCAGTAGGCAAGTTTAATATAAAAGCAGGTGGATGCCAAATAAGAACTATGTAAGATTACTATGCTTAGTAACAAGATTCAAATGATTTCTTCAAGGATAAGTGAAGATAAGTGAAGAATTTACACTTTTCAAAACAATGCCTATTTACAAATGTATAAACAAAGATTTCTAAAGAGAAGGGTTGGGGGGAGGCATAGGGGTCATGGAGCGATGCTGTGAAAGACCTCTCCCATGTTACAATAAAGGGTGTCAAACATTGGAATTTTTTCCCTGATTAATCATTGAAGGAGGCGCCTGGGTGGCTCACTCGGTTAAGCGTCTGCCTTTGGCTCAGGTCATGATCCCAGGGTCCTGGGATCTAGCGTCCTGGGATGGAGCCCAGGGAGCCTGCTTCTCCCTCTCTTCCTCGCTGTGCTCTCTCTTGCTATCTCTGTCTCTCTCTCTCAAATAAATAAAATCTTTTTAAAAATTCATTAAAGTTTTTTCATTGAAAAACCTGAAATTAAGCAAACTATGACAAATAGGTTATAGATAACAACAAGTGGAACCTATAACACTTACAGAATTGTGAGATTTCCCTTAGAAGAGTGAGCACATTGTTCTCAAATGCTGCTACTGGAGAGGAAACTTCCCACTGAATTCCCTGAAATGGCAGAATGTAGAATTGGGCCTCACCATGGCCAATTTTTCTATTCCAGTGGAGGTAGTTACTTACTAATGTCAGAACACTTTCCTTCTTTGAAACAGTCGTCAGCTTATAAATTTTCAGTGTCTACCCCCAAAATGTGAGTAGACATTTGAAAGCAGAGAACTAAAACCAAAAAGTAAATAGTAATATTCTTAGTTAAGGGTAATGTACTAGGAAAACAATCACCACAAAATTTTAAAATATAATACCTTTGAATAGTCTTTCTGCACTGAAGTTTGTATTTAATTTTTCACTTTGTTTCATTTCTTATTTATTTAAAAAATTGAATAGGGAATACTTTTACATGATTAATACACAATACAAAGTGGTATATAGTAAAAAGTTTAGTTCGCACCTCTACTCTCATCCGCCCCATTTTTCTCTGTCACCAACTGGTCACCATATTATTAATTACTGAGTATTCTTCCAGAATTTCTTTATGCAAGACCAAGGAAATGCAGATATGTATTGTTATGTCCTCTCTTTCTTCCATAAAATGTAGCACAGTATAGACTGTTCTGTATTTTGCTATTTTCACCCAGTGATACCTCTTGGAGATCTTTCTTTACCAGTAGCTCAAGGGCTTTGCCTTTTTTTCTTACATTTTCATAGTCAGTTCTCATGGCATGCATGTACAGTAACCTATTTAACCAGTTCCCTAATAATGGAAGGCTGGATTATTTCCAATTCTTACTAGTACACACAGTGCTTTTGATAAATAACCTTTACATATGTTGCTCCATACATGTTCATTGCTTATTTTCAGAGAATGAAAATAAAGCCAAGTCCTAAAAATAGAGTTATCCTCAGTTTTGGCAAGCTTCTAAATCTGAGAGCTCACTTGGGTTATTTTTTGCTACCTAAACTTACTAATTTAGTTTTTCACTCTCTAGCACATTTAGCCAAGAAAAGTGGCTTTCATTTGTAAAACAATACAAGCTACCTAGACATTTGGAAGGAAAGGGTCACGTGTCATATACATCGGGCTATCCTAGGACCTATCCAGAAATGTTGCTTCCCCAAAAAAATGATAGAAGAAAGGGTGATTTCCATAGAGCTACTGAATAACACATCAGAGCCCTGAAAAATCTTGTCTTCCTTATATCTTGACTTCCATATTTAATCCTTAGGGTTTGTCCTTCGAATTGATTCTCATGAGTATCCCCTTCCCTTGCATTCCTTTTCCCACCAGATACATTCTCCAAAAATGGTTGCTCTATACCAATGCTCTTTTTATTCCAACTGTGTGCATTCTGTTGCTAATGTATCACTTTAAAATAGCCCACTTGTTATATAATACCTATATATCAATTCTTTTTTGTTGTTGCTGTTGTTTTCTCAAGGAATTCTTTGGGTAATTACTTTAATGGAATCTGGTTTTTGATGATTTATTCCCCCCCCACCCACCAACACTCCTCCCAAGCACCCAGTAGTAAATTTAAGACACGGGTAAGATTTTGTGGGGTTTTTGTTTGTTTGTTTCCTTTCCTCCCTTCTTAATCGCAAGCTGTTGGAATATTAATTAAGCCAACATTTTAAATTAATATGTTTTTATAGGTTAGTATCTCTACAAGAAACCACTATTTCCAACTGTACCCAGTCTGATCTCTGCATCTCCCCCTTAAAGAACAACGGCTTCCGTGAATCACCTTTTCTGGTTTCAGTTGTTGGCACCATTACCAGCTCTTCTCAGTGACTCTAGCATCCATACCATGCTCTCTACTGGTCACACACATCCCTGGAGTTTTTTTTTAGAATCTGCAGCTCACGCCTTCAGGATTGCTTTGAAGAGAAAAGTATGAATGGAGAATGGGAGGTACATTCTTAATTTCTTTTCTCAGTAATGCTGTTTATTTCACTGCTTAACTCATTACCATCTTCTTTTTTTCTCCGAAATGTAAAAGACCTACTAGTATACTGGGAATAGTTTATTGGTTTGGTTTGTTTAATTATAGTCAGACGTAAGTCAACATTCCTACGATTCTTTTTATAAAAAAAAAAATATGATACTTAAGTTGGTTTAGGATGGTTTTAAATAATTCTTAGCCATTTGCTAGCTGTTCCTTCTTAATATGAGTTAAGGGGTCTGATTCTGTATTTGTGCAGTTTTACATACATATTTACATACCAGTCACAAAGGTAGATTCACCCAAATATATACACTGCATGTTTTTACACGGCTGCAAAGATAACACTATTGGTTTATGAATTCAAACTCATTTTCTGATATAAGTGAGAAAAAACCAAAAACATGATTTTTCCAGTGGTTATGGTTACCTTATGATGATTAATCCTCCAAAATATAATTATTTGGACAAGAGAATTTTGAAAAGAACAAAGGGCAGGAAAAAAAAAAAGAAAATAGCAACAAAGAGAGAGGAAATTATGTTTCACCAGATTGCAGGGCTTAAATTGTGGTTAAACTGATGGCCTGCCTGATATTCTAAGGCTGATTACTCCCTCCCCAGGGGGATATTATAAACAAGGAGTTACTATCAAAATATTTTTTATTTGTCTGAAAACTAATTTGCCAAGCCTGGAGGTCAGAGGAAGAGGCAGATGGGAAAAGCAACCTGCTCCGCTGCCTCTGAGGAGTCAGCTGTGGGGAGAACTCGACCTGCGGGTTGGAAATGTCACTCAAGCCCTGAAGCTCCATAAATACCAGGAAAGAAGACAACACCAGTCTCCCAGCCCACGGCCCACAAAGCCACTCTCTCTTCCAGCAGGTATTAAACATTAATGACCATTCCTATAATGAGGGCAAGAACGGCTCTCGGCAGGAGAGCTGCCCAGTCACCGGGGTAGAGTTGGACTGTCAACAGCAGCGAGCTTCACCACTTTTTCTTGCCCTCCTCCTTTTATCCCTCTGAGAATCTTCAGCCTGAAGGTAATGAAGTGCTTCCTTTATCACTCTGTATCATTGAAATATTTATCTGATTATTTGAATAAAAGATTACTGCAACAGTGGTAACTCCCTGCATATCCTCAGACTTCAAAAGGGAAAAGGAAGCTTGATGAATAGAACAACACCAAGGCACTTGGCAATAAGCTTTACAAATAACAAAATGAATGCTCTGAGAAGTTGCAGCTTGTTTACAGCTTGTAAACTCACACATGATGCTAAGCGTGGGACTGAAACCGAAGCAACAATTGGCCTTTGGAGTAATAATTTAGACAGCAATAAGTTTCAAGTTGGTTTTCTTTTTCCCCTATACCTTTGAGCATTTCTAAATACATTGCTGCCGTCTTGCTGAGTCCCTGAAGATAATGTGCATTCATTAAGGCAGTTGTTTCAGGATCCATTTTACTCCATCCTTGCTTGTGTCATGGGTTTTGTTTCCTGGTAAGCACGAAGTACATAAAAGCCTAAATAGAGGTGGCCTCTGATTTCCACCTCCCTGGCTGTGGGTTTAGTCTTTTGCAGAGGAATCCTCCCCCAAGCACTTCTTGGAGTAAACACAAGAGACAATGTGAGTCCACAAATGAGACCTTGCCCTCACTAATTGCCATGGAAGATCACCCTGACACTTGGCCATCCTGACCCCAAGGCCCAACAGAGCCACGGGCCTGTTTATGTTGCCGTAGCTGTTGTCTTGATACCATTGGAACTGGTCATCAGCGCCCAGCCTCAAAAATCCAGTGAGGTGAGCAGGACCCTCCTGTGTTCCCCCTCACTGGAGTGAGGGCAGGGAAATGCCATCACAAGTTTGGTTTTGCTCATAATCGTCCCAGGGTTTAGTGAGACTGTCCTCTCAATGGACACGCTGTCCTGCCTTCCAGGGTGCGTACCCCTGGATGGAAGTGGCAGAAGTTCCCGTCCAACCACTACCAAAAGCATTGGTCATCCTCCACTATTTAAGTGGTTGCATTTTATTCACTCTGCAGTTTCAACTCTCATTCTGGTGAAGCCTCCTTCAGGGATCCCCATTGCTGCCCCTTCAGTTTCTCTTTGACAGTGGTCTCCCGAGGCCGCTCTACAGGTCTCAACACCAGCTGTGCTGTTTGCTTATCCCAGAAGCCTTCCCAGCACCCACTGGGATTGTGTGACTGTCAGTAGACACACGGAATGGGGAGCGTTGCCTTCGTCCACTGGCCAGTAGTGTTTCTTCAGAGACTAGTTCTATAATCATCGCTTCTTATATTACTCAATGCACAGAAAAAGGGGTAACTGGGTGCTGGACATTAAGGAGGGCACGTAATGTAATGAGCACTGGGTATCGTATAAGACTGATGCATCACTGAACTCTACCTCTGAAACCAATAATACACTATATTGTAATTAATTGACTTTAAATTTAAAAAATTAAAAAAAAAAAAATAGGATGATAATTTCTGCCTCCCAGAGCTTCTTTGTGTCAAAAAGGACGTACATTTTTGAAGTTTTATTTTTTATTGTTTTTAATAGACTTTATTTTTTTTATAGCAGTTTTAGGTTCACAGCAAAATTGAGTGGGTGAACCAGAGATTTTTCATATATCCCCACACATGCAGATCCTCCCCCATCATCAATATCTCTCACGACAGTGGTACATTTGTTATAATTGATGAAACTACATTGACACATGATTATCACCCAAAGTCTATAGTTTACATTAGGGTTCACTCTTGGTGTTGTACATTCTGTGGGTGTGGACAAATGTATAATGACATGTATCCACCATTATCATACACAGTATTTTTACTGCCTTAAAAATCCTCTGTTGTCTGCCTATTCAATCCTCCCTTCGCCCAGCCCCTGGCAACCACTGATTTTTTTTATTGTCTCCATAGTTTTGCCTTTTCCAGAATGTCATAGAGTTGAAATCATACATTTTATTAGCCTTTTTAGATGGGCTCTTTCAGTTAGAAATATGCATTTAAAGTTCTTCCATGTCTTCTCATGGCTTCATAGCTCATTTCTTTGTAGTGCTGAATAATATTCCACGATCTGGATATACCACAGTTTATTTATCCATCATCTCTCATAAAGGATATTTGTATTTATAAATTAATAAGGTATTGTTAATTTGAAATACAGTCACAGAAGGTAGCTAGATTTTATGAGGCAGTGTTCTCTGGATCCGTGTTTCTCTATCCCTACTGTATTTTCCCAAATAATACCTCTATTTTTGTTCTTTTCCTTGTTTGTGGTTGCACAAGGTTGTTATGTAACCAGTGTTATATGGGGTATGAAAAGAATTAGGTTCATCCACTTTCAAGTTTTCTTAACTTTTTTTTCCCAGAGTTATTATTATCCCTGTTTCTCTGAGATAAAACTTAAAGCAAATAGAAACAGTGGCTTGGAGCTGTCCCAGCAGGTATTGAAATGTCCCCTCTTCTTCTGTCTACTTTAGACTCAAGGAAAGGGAGGGCGGTGGGGAGGAAAGGAAGGAAGGATGGGGAAGTCTTCACTTGATTCTAGTTCATTTGATACTAACAAAGAAATGAGTGCCCTCTGAGTAGTGTGTGACATGTCAGAGTATTGAGGCTGGGGAGAGGTTGAGGAGTAGCAGAACCACTCCTTGAGAAATTCTGACATGGAGAATGGAGTGGGTCGTTGTTCCAGCTTGGATAGCCTACATGAAGCATTTCTCATTCAAATGATGGTATGTGTGACGAGACAGTGATAACAGAAGCTGGGATGGTGAGTTCTAGCTGTCAGGCATTTACCCAGGCTGAGGTTTCTAGACTGAGTCTGCACCATGGAGATATTTCACCTATTTCTTATGCTGTTTTGCATCCTAATTTGAGGTATAAATCTTAGTTAGTATGGAAGATATTTTTCCTCTGGGCACAAACTTTCTATTTAAATTCTAACATTTTTAGCTAATTTTTTTTGCCTATTCTAAATCAATTTTGGGGGGAATTTAGATTTTCATTACATATTATTTTGATTAATAAATATATACTTGTGATATTCAGACACAATAATATATACTTATATTTATTATTTTTACAAGTCTTGAACCAGATATGAAGTCATTAAAAAACATGATAGGTAGTTAAAGGGAGAGAGGTCTCTTGTGAATAAGCCTTATCCCCAAAACAATTCTGCCCCCCATTCCATCCACTTACCCTGCCTCCTTGTTCCCAACTCAAGTAGAATTTGAGATTTCAAATGTTCTTCTTGATGCTCTGCTGATTAACCATTATATGCATGATTATATGGGGATTATAATAACACTTTCTCAAGTAGAATCTCCTGCATAAACCAGTGGGAGAATAGGGGTCCTGATTAGCCGGTGATCCCTTCTGATATGCCAAAATTCACCTTAGATGAACATTTTTACTATGCCAATACTTGTGATCAGTCTTACTCTTCCCTGAAGGGTAGAACCAACACTGTCTTTGGCTTTTTTTTTTTTTTTTCTGATTATTTTTTTGCAAGCCTAAGCACTAGCCAGTTTCATAACCAGTTTTTTTGTTTTTTTGTCACATCTGTCCACCAGAGTTCCCATTTAATAATCAAATGACCTATGGTACATGAAGCTTGGGATTCTCAATATTATCTTTCTTATTACGGGTATATAAATTACTTTTGAATAAACTATGAGCTTATACCATTGTTCCCCAAAATGAGATGCCCAACTCTGTTCTTTTTTTTTTTTTAAGATTTTATTTATTTATTTGAGAAAGAGAGAGCATGAGCGGGGGGAAGGGGGGGTTGCAGAGGGGCAGAGGGACAAGCAGTCTG